ATTCAAACGCCTAGCAAATGCAATCAATACGATGTAGGGTATGTTTAAAGCCATAGCAACCATTTGACAACGCTCCAGCCGACACCAAAGACGCGCTTCACCGATCCAACAAGCACAACGATGAGCCACATGCACCACATGAGGCCGACGAGTGCCCACTCTACCAACATCCAGCCAAAGCCTCGCATCCACCTCATTCGGCGCTTTCGTGCTCTGATCATGCGGTCGATCTCGTCGGTGATTTGTTTGACTTGGAGTGATCCCTGGCCAGATACTTCACTCGTGACACGCACAGCCTTGTCGCCGCCTTCCAAGATGCGGGGCATAAGATCCGAATCCACAGTTGACTGCAAAGTAGATATTTGCCTTGTCAGCTGCTGGATAGCCTTGTTACGGAAGGTTTCGAGTGTTGATTGCATAGCTTTAGTGGAAGCCTCGAGATCTTTGACCAATATGCGTGCAGCCAAAACGTGTTCTTGCGTGCGCGGAACGGGATACAGTTTCGTGTTTGTCAAAGCAGCTGCACGCACGAGGAAATTAGGAGGTGGGTCTCGTGTAGCGTAGGCGCGGCGCACGATTTCGTTCGCTTTGACACCAGAGCAGAGGAACAATGCGCGAACACGAGCAATGTCTGCTTGTGTGATCATGTCCGCATTAGTCTTACGGTCAACGGCTTGATCGTCGCCGTCAGCAATGCTCCAATGTCTTCCGCTCATTCCTGGTCTCGAACCACTGGCTTTCCTCTCTTGCACATTCCTCAGGCCAGCAGCAGGGAGGCCGCCTGTATCACTATGATTGACAGGCGATTCTTCAAGTCGCTCTTGACTATTGTTCCGACCGAGGGTGAGAGAGCCTTGAGAAGAACGATCGGATATAGTGCTTAAATCCATACGTGGGGGTAAAAGTCGATCAATACGAGGGGAACGGCTGCCCTTCCGGTCTCGAGTCTGGCGCGAAATGTGATGTTCTTCGTCAGAATCTTCATTGTCAATGGCGTGAACAGGGCGGAACGATGGCAGGTCGAGACGGCTACGGTCCTTGTGGAAAGAAATCCTGCTGCCCTCTGTGCCTCCTGTATTTGTACGGGCTATCGATGGTCGTTTGCTCTGTTTAGCTCGAGCAGAGCCATTGTCATCGTCAAACTCTACCGAGTTGCTATCAGACATGGTGTCCGAATCAGAATCGTCCGCTCGATCACGTCTGAAGATGATGTCTCCAACTTTTGTGCCCTCATGCCTGACGCCCTTGAAGAATCGTGTAACAGCAGACTGTGGCTCCTGGGCCTCTCTGCGACGTAGCTTGTCTGGGCTGGGCAAACTACTGACACTGTCGTTCTTCCGATGGCCCAAGAGGTTCATTACAGCACCTGGCGCGGCCAATATCGCTGTTCCAATGTTTTTGTCATCCGCAGCCTCCCCGCTATTTTGATGAGATTTTCCCTTTCTGTCTGTGCCAGAGGAGCCTGGCCGTCCTTCATGCTGACTTTCCTCACTGTGGTCGTGCGAGTGGAAAATGTTGTTAAACTTGTGTCGCTTAGGTTTTCTCGTCTGCGAATTGGATCGGCTTTGTGGTGGCGAGGCTTCGCTGCCAAAGTATGGGAACCGTTTGGTAAGGGGTGTGTTTGGAGCAGTGCTGTCTTGCTGCTCATGGGAAGATCGTGGCTCGGCATCGTCGCTGGATAGATTTAAGGGTTTGCGTGGCGTAGGCGAAATCTTGAAATTGCCGTGGTCTTTGAGATATGAGAAACCGTTTGAAAACCGCGGTACATCTAGTGAGTCCCGAGTAGGCTTGTCATCCATTGCGACATCTCCATTGCGGCCCCACTTGTCGGGTGTGTTGGGCGACATGGCCAATGGTGACTTGGCTTGAAACTCTTTGGCCTGCTGCTCCAGGAGCAGAGCAAGTGGTCCGGTGTTGTGTTCCGGATCCGTAGCGACACGGATCTTGCGCCTCTTTGTATCAGACTCCGACCCAGAGCTATCAGGCTCATCATGGTTCCGTAACCTTGAACCTCTTCTAGAGTGCTTCCCGCCCCTGGGGCTATCTGTGCGAAGCGCTGGAAGCAATCTTCGCTTACGTCCGCGCTCACTTGCTATATCACTCTCATCACCTGTTGTGTGATCAAGTGCGATGGCAGGCAATGCATCAGCCCAGCTCTTCCCTCGCTTGTCACCGAATTCTTTGCTAGCACGCACTTGGAGGGAGTCTCTAGGCTGTGCCTCCTTGGGCGGAAATATTTTTTGGCCACGCCGGTTTTCCACAAATGTTTTGTTGCCGCCCTGCTCTAGCCAGTGCGCATCCGCAAGCAGTTCTTCTGGGGTGAAGAACCAGCCCTTGTGCGGCCTTGGGGGCTTGCTGGGTGGAGCAGCGACTTCATGGTCTTGATGAATCTTGGGCAAATGCACGGCATCATTTCGACGGTACCCAACATGTTTGGCATGCTGCTCAATCTGGTCAACCCAATCGCGCACCTGCTGAATGTCCTCGAACTCTTCTGGGGGGTGATCCAAAACTACACGCTCACGAGCTCTAATGCGGCGATTACGGATGAACTGTAGGGGGTTGTAGGCGCGGCCGAGATCGTGCTGTTTGCCGGCATGCGATGGAGTACGGGTGAGATGCGCTTGGGGACTACCTGGGGAGCTGCTTGACGTAAAGATGAAGTTGCCTGGGGCATTGGCGTCGGGCTTTAGGGGTGGGAGGAAATCCAGTAGGCGCAGATACTCCATTTGAAGCTCGATATATGCCTTGGCCTTGTTTACTCGCGCAAGTGTAGAAGCAGATGGATTGATGGACTGTGAGCCTGGAAACGCCATCGAGCCGCTCCCCTGCATGGACGTAGACATGTGCCGCGACGGGGAGCCTCTGCCGCCCATTGGGGATATGTTCCTCGAGACTCGTCGCTGCTCATTGAGATAGTGTCTTAGACTGCCGCCAGCAGCATAGTTGGCAAAGCTGCCTTCACGGTGCGACCCCGATGCAGCGCGTGGCTGAGATGCGAGAAGCTGGCCGGTATTGATGTTTCTGCGCCGGCTCTCGCTGAGATTTAGGGCCATGTGTACGAGGTGGGTGGGGTCGATGGCTTGCCGCGCTGGCTCTGTCCGGGGCGAAGGGTCTCTGTCGTCGCTTGTAGATGGCATCTGGTGTACACTCCGCCTATTCCTGTCCATGTTTGTGTCGCTGCCATGGTGTTCTCGAGAGGCAGCCAGCATGGAACTTCGTTTATTCTCGTGTGTTGCCTGGTGTCGCGAGTTGCGCTTGCCTTTTGAGTCGTCGCCGCCATGAGCATCGCGATGGCCATGGCGCTGTCGAGGGCCGCTAGGAAAAGTCGAGTCGAGGAGGAAGCCGCCACTTCTTCGTGGGCGCTGCTTGCGCTGAGCAGCGTCGTCGTTGTCGCCGCTCGTCATGGCTATTCCCAGGCCATGGAGTGCACCGTTGCTGGGTCGTGAATCCTGGCTCCGCCGCGGCGAGGAGCTTCCCTCGCCATTGTCGGTGTTCGCGCCCGCGTTGCTGGCAATGTAAGTGTTTGACGAAGCCGTCCAGCGGTCCGAGTCTCCAGAAGGACGGCCATGGCTAGACGGCGCCGACATGTCGTGGGGTTACGGCTTCGGCTTCGGTTGGGTCACCTGGGGCGGCCAGGGGGCGAGTGCATGGCGATGACGACGGCTGCGCGGCGCAGAGACGGCCGGTGTGGTGCTTGTTTGGCGGGCAGTCGATATGGACGACTGGCGATGCACTTGTAAATCCTATCCAGTAAGTGGAGCGCACACCATGTCATATGTGGGGTGGGTTGGGACGACGCAATCCTCGTGGCCGACGACGACGACGTCCTGTCCTGTAATTAGGCTGGAATCCATAGTCCCCGTACTGTCGCTTGCTGCCCCCTGTCGTCCACCCCATCGTCCACGGGTGGATCCATGGCTGCTCAAGCCCTATTCCACCATGCTTTCTCTTGTCCGGTCCTGCCACTGTTGTTGAATGGCATCGCGCAGACTTTTGCTGCAATTTACCCTTCCATCAGCCACACAATGGTTGACGTCACCGCATCGCTGCGAAGCTGACTGCAGACCCTCGCACTAGCACATTGCTTCCATCAGGGCCAAACATCAAATCAGACACCCCCCCATCACTGCTGTGTCTCCTGTATAGAACGAGAACAAGACGCTGGATTGCATGCGCCTGCTACAGCGCCAATACTGGATACACCAACAAGTCCATATCAAATGTCCCATAGCTACCATGCTTCATCGGCCAACGTCCAAGTCCTGCACCTGTACCTGCACACTATGAAACCATGCATGGGCCATTTCCAACAGAAACCGAGGCAAAGTACTTACTTATGCCTGCAAGTCAACATTGTTCCAACGGCTTCATGACTATCGGACGGCACATTTGGTTATCAAAAAATCACCGTCTGCGTCAAAGCGTATTGGCCAGGTTACATCTATAATGGCTAAATACTTGCGCAAACCCACTCAGTCGTATGCCGGGCTTCAAATACAGAGAGGGCCATGTGGCTGGTCAAAAGCATGGTCAACCTGAAAATACCACAGTGCAGATCAGGTACACCTGATGAAAAAAAAACATTCGACTATCTTGCAAAGGAGGGTGGTGTGAGGAGCACACCTTTGCGTTCGAGAGCTTTGATCGAGCTTCGACGGGCATACCCGGTGCTAACGACTGACAGCCAGGGCCCCTCAATGAACCCTTGTGTTTCAATTTCAATCTCCCAACCACAGCAAGCTAGACCCGCCCCAGGACACTTGTCGCACACTCAGCTTATGCCTTTCAAGACAAAGAGACTGCTGCGCTGCATTCCGGTATCGGCGTGGATCGCCATGATGCATCTCACACCGCGTTGATGGCTGCTTGGCTCTCGCTTTTGTAGCCTGATAGTGAGACGGAGGCTGAGGCTGAGCAAAAGTACATCTACTGACTGCTTGGGTGAGCCGACAATCGACACGGCATAATACTGAGTGGAAATTTGGTGCAGATAAACTTCACATGGACGCAAAAATAGACCCTAGTCCCCAACCACCCGCTTTCACATGACGGGCGAGTATCCAAACACAACGGTACCAGGTCTCGACGCCTTCGCGAGGGTCGCGGTGGAATTGGCCTTTTATCGGTGTCGAGTGAGAATCCTTCAGACATGAAACACTGGGTCCGGTCATGTACCAGCTTGAGAAGAGCTTACCAACTGATAGGCGTGCTCTCGCACCTTTGGCCCGGCTACGGCGTGTGGAGCACGGGGCGGGGAAAAGGCTGACATGTCGCGAGCTGAGCCTGTCAGGGTCGCACGGCGAAGGCGCCATAGGATTGTCAGATGAATGTCGCTGGCAGTGTGTTGGGCCGAGAAGGACAAGAGGCCAAGAAGGTTTCGATGGGAGCAACCGTTTGCAGAGACACGATCGATGCCTCGCGATCAGCGTTGTCTGGTAGGGAGCCAATATGGTACCGCATGCTTGGGTGGGTGGTGTGGTGTGCTATGGGTCGAGACGGTGAAATAAGGTTTCGTGGCAGGTCGACGTCAGCCTCGGATCAACTAGCCAACCGGTCTTACCTGTACGCCCATTTCCCATTCTCCGTAACCCAAGTCCAGAATGACGGCGAACGAGCCAGACGCATGCGAGGCGGGAGATCAATGGGCGGGCTAGCCCATCAGCCTTGTCTTCGTATACCCAGATTAAGCTCCACCAAGACGGTTATCTCTCTCCATCTCTCTCTTTCTCTCATCAGCCAGGCGTGTAAGCCATGGCAGCACACGGCCAACACAACAGGCGGCGCCTCAGAGGGCCACGCAAGCGTGAGGTTGCAGGGACGAGGGACGAGGTGCGTCGCAGGCGTGCAGGCCAGTGTTTTCCCAGCTGGAGTGGAGGCTTGGTGATGGGACGCATTGGATCGTGGATCGGCATGTCTGCGTAAAACAAACCAGACCCCTCCGGCCGCTGATTCGCCGCTGCCCCCGGCTCCGCTTAGGCTGGCAGAGAGGCGGACTGTTCCACTACTCGGACGCGGCAAGGCTGAAGAGCAAACGGGCGAGTCAAAACAGGGCCGGGTGCTGATGGTCGCCATGTCAGAAGCACCCCCTCCAAGGGCGCAGTGCCGTCACAGTGACAGTGCGCCTGGTGCTGAGGAGGCGTGTTGGGATGGCGGCGGTTACCATGTCATAACACCGTAGCAGGAGGAGCGTGTTTGTCTGTACTGTACTGTGCTGTGCTGTAGCTGGTCTGGTCTGGTCTGGTCTTGTCTTGTGAAATTCGGCTGAAGAAGGCCAGGAGCGCGTCCAATTAAGGAAAAGCATGACGGGGCTAGCGACCACAGCCAGCCTGCCCTCTGCCCCGGTAAGCAACCAAGCAAAGCAAGCCTGCCCGCAACCCTCTGCAACTCTTGGACACGCCGTTTGCTGCGATACCCGGCATGATCCGAGCAAGGTTTGGACGGCACTCCCTCATTTCTTTTTTTATTATCGCGACCGACTGGTCTGGAAAGCGGTCGAGCTGTACGCGGCAGGCCGGGTTGATTCGCCCTCTACCAAGGCATGTCGTTCAACCTGAAGGCCATGTCCAATAAGCTCCCGGCTCGCCAGCTTGCCGCTTATGGCGTGGCTTGCAGCTCAAGGTTCACCCACTCATGAAGGGAAACGAGGCTGACTGCGCCATTCCAGCCTTGTGCGCGCACTCCGCTGGGCCCAGCAAAAATCGGGATATCTTGTTGCCTGGCCCCCGCGCTGTCCAAGGCCGTCTTGGAGGCACGTCGCGAGCACCCCAGCTGTTCACTCGACACTGCAGACTGCCTAGTCCTGTCCGATTTAGCTGCCGTTAGACCTACGGCGCCCGCCCCACCAAGCATTCCAGCCCAGCTCCCACTCCCTTGCTCGCTTTTGGGACGGAACAAGACGGTTCCGCAGTCTCCCAGCCGTCTGAATCCCCTAGCATATCATCATCAACAACAAAGTATATGCCGCCATCAAGAATCCGGGCAAGAATGAAAGCAGGAGCCCCTCCAAAGACTCCCACCACCATAACCACTACCACCGCTAGCCAAGCAGTAGAGCCGTCTCCAGTCTCAAGGGAAACCGTTGTGACAGCTCCTGCCGTTGACACGACCCCCAGCACTTCTCCTGCATTTGGACCCAGCTCAAAGACGCCGTCTCGCAGAGTATTGCGACTCAAGTGTCCGGTATGCTCCGACTATCCCGACGGCTTCCGCAGCGAGCATGAGCTGCGGCGCCATACCAACCGCGTCCACAAGAAGGTACGCAAGGTCTGGGTGACCATTGACACTTCGCCGGATAAGTCATTCCTCGCAAATTGCAAAGCCTGCCAGACTGGAAAACGATACAATGAATGCTACAATGCCGCAAGCCACCTCCGGCGCATGCACTTCCATCCCCATAAACGCGGCGAGAGAAAAATGACAGCAGCAGAAGCTCGGCGCGGCGGTAAGCCTGGCGACTTGGACCCTCCCATGGACGTGCTAAAAGCAAATTGGTTACGAGAAGTGGACGAGGTATTGGACGATGGAAATGAGCCAGCCGAGGAGGACGCTCCCAACGCATCCTTGTCGCCGCCCCAGATGGTGTCGCCGCAGTCACAGCAACAGTCCGCGTCCAACAAGTCGGATGGACAAGCACCGCCGACACCAACTACGCCCTCCACCCGATCAATGGCGATAGACAGCATTGTGGATAAGGTGGACGCATCCTGAGCACGACGTGCTCACACTAGGTGGCGCACCGACCGTAGCATTCAGAGACGGAGGTCTACGACGGGGGGCCTTGCCGAGAAGATAACTATCAGGCACGCTCGTTGCAATGCATCTTCTCACCAGACGTCTCTTGGCAGACGGAGCGGCTACCTTGGTCGAAGAGGAAAGGCAAGAATGCGAGATCATGTTACTCAGTCGCACTCTGCAACCCACTGGACTAGGCCAAGAGACTTTGGGTCGTTTGTCGGGTCAATGTTCAAGTCGCTCCTCTGCGAAAAGTGTGTTTTGATATTCAAGGCGTCGAGGTGTTGAAAGGGACAACTAGGTATAAGGAGCATGCCGGGACGGACCAGGCCTCCCAGTCAAGGCATCCAAATGGCGTTTGTGTGTTCTAGGACAGGACCCTGAATGTGAAAATGTTAGTCTATACTTGTGTTTGCGTCATGCACGTGGTGGTAGTGGCGACAAGAGCGCCATGTCATCCAAGTTGGCGATGGAAAGGCTTGAGAGGGCGAAAGTGGCCATTTTTGCAGATATTCCGGACCTTGGAAGAAAGGTGTACAAGGTTCGTCTGGTTCAGAGGACAGATGATGTGAAGTGCAATTAAGACATATGTCGATCAACGAAGGGGTAGTGGCGGGTCGGTACTCCCGTCAAATGGGGCTCGTGCGCAACAATTTGTCTGCTGCAATGTCGGCCAGGATGTGCTGCTTCGCTGTTCCATAGCCCTACTCACGCAATATCAGCAGACTGCAATGGCCCTGCCGCCTACGAATCACACACGCTATACGGGCCCTTCTTGCTGCACGGAAAGCGCGTGCCGTCTGCGGTAGATAATATCGTAGATTAACAGGTAGCGTGCGGCGTGGGGAGGGGCGCATGCAAGCAAGCGATGGCCTTCCGACGAGCACACAGTAACTATGTCAACCTGGGCAAACTGTACAGCATTCCGCCTTGGGGCATCGTACCACCCTATGGCCTAGCCAGACCACAAAGTAACTCTGTGAATCTTGGCAATCTGTACTCGCGCCCCCAATCCAAGCGTCCTGCGGGCTGGGCCTACTTTGAAGATGGCTCCGTCTTCATCCTGCCCTTTGGATGGTGCGCCCACAATGTCTTCGAGTCGCGCATGAAAATTGCTGCGCACTTCGTCAATGGCCCTACGCCAAGGATGCAGCAGGTACAAGCCAAGAACCCGCATATGAAGCGCTTCGTCGTCATCAAGTAAGTCGGCCGGGCGCGGGTGTGTTTTTTTTTCAACAAGGCGATTGCGCTGACTGGAGCCCTTCAGCAAAGACGGTATCCAAATACGGAATAACACGCTTCGTATCCTAGCACGCAATGCTCAAGACGGACAAAGAGTGTCTGTCGTTGACCCGCCGTTTGAAAACGTCGAATTAAGCCTTGATCCTACCGGGAGCCACCCAGTTTCGGCCCGCTTCAGTGATGCTCCTCAATTGAGATACGAATACCGACTACGGAATAGTCAGGCGTTGGAGAATTTCCGAGGCACATTGGTTGGCGGTATTCTACAACCTAACGTGCGTCTCGGGAACGGTCTGCGCTTATCGAATAAACCAGAGATATTGAAACCGCAGATAACTGCAAAGAGGCGGGAACGGAATCAGCAAGCCAGAAGACTTGATGAAAGCGGGCATCGGCCATCGAAATCACCCGTGAAGCAACTGCATCAGTTGAATGTGCCGTCTTTGAGAGAGCAAACACCACCTGGGCGCCCGGGGAAGCCGATGCCTCTGTTACGAAAGAGCCCCCGAGCTCTCGACTTTGAGCGTCGAGAAGCTCAACTAGCAAAAAGAGAGCAGAAACTCATAAAATTGCAGCAGCAGTTACTCCAGACCATGCAAGCTCAAAGTATCAAATCCAGCCAAGGGAAAATACATGGAACGCAAACACACGACTCGCCCGACCCCTCAACCGATGCAAAACTCGCAGCCATCGAAGAAAGAGAACGAGCACTCGAGCGAAAAGAAGAGCTCCTACGTTACAAACGCAAGACCTGGCTTCTAGAACAGAAACTCGCACAAGTCACTGCTCGCTCTCTACCTCGTCGTGGACTTCATGAAACAGAGGCGGACGCACGAGAGCGTGGTGGAGATGTCTCATCCAACACTGGAATGGAGCAAGAAGCTACTTTGGACTCTGAATTTGATGATGCGGGTCAAAGTCACCCGAGGAGAAGTTATAGTCTTGATGATACAACGCCGCCGGAGGCTCTTGAGAGATTGAGATCACGTATTCAATTGCCTACGAGGAGGATGATGAGGGCGGGTAGGGAGACTCGACGGCGGTGACGTGCTCTGTTCAGTCTTATATCGCAAAAAGATTACAGTCTTTGGCACGTTCAGGACAGTTTCGCAAGGAAAGTCACATAATCTTACTACGACCTCATACAACCTTTGAAGCCCCTCAAAAAACCAATCCTTTTGTTAACCCACTTGCTAGACATTAGGAGGGAGAATATTCAAGAGGATTAATGAATGCATCTAGGTTAACTAGATGGGTCTCATGTAAAAAATGCTGTATTAGGTATATCTCAACTCTTGAATAAAAATGATACCCTGTAAATAAACATACAATAATTGTCAAGTCAAATCCATCTCCTTCTCATAAGCGCAACCTCACCACCTACCATGGCCATTTCCTCTTCAATCCCATATCAAACTGTATAAAATAAAACACCGAACGCTTGTATTCCAACCCAACCACCACCGTTCCCTTTTCTCTTCCCCGCCAAAATCATCGCAAAAATAAAACACCCCCTCCCCTCTACCCAGAAAAAAAAAACAATAACGACTCTGAGTCCCAATTCCAGCCCCCCAATTCACACCCACCTGACTAATCCACCCCCTACACCGATCCACCCCACTCCCATCGCGATCTCGACCGCAGCCACACGCCACATTCCCGCTTTTTCCCTCTCCCTCTTCCAACCCCCTTCCTCCCTCCTCCTCCCCTCGGGAAAAAAAACAAATCACGGGAAAAGAGAAAGCAGAAACGTGGGTGGTGCACACGAAACGCCGCAAAAGCAAACTTTCTCGAGAAAGAGAGAGAGAGAGAGAGGGAGGGAGGGAGGCGAATCTAAAAGCGGATGCGAGTTCACCGGTTCTAACAATTGTTTCATGGGTGCTTAGTTTAGATGGAGAGGAAGGGGGGGGGGGGTTGGTCACGGATGATAAGGGACGTTGTTTTGGGGATGCTTAAAAATACACAAGGAGGCATGTGTGTGTGTGCGTTTTTTTTTTAGAAAAGCGTAAGGGAAAAGAAGGGTCGGGAAGGGTTTGAAGGTAAAGAGGTTGCTTTGAGGATTCTGAGATGGGTGGATGAGTAAGAGGAACGGTGTGGTGAAGCGAGATGTAAAAAAAGGTAAAAGGAAGAGTGGGTTTGGTGGGTAGTAGTGCCAGTGTATCTTTCTTTACACCTATCTCGTTCTTCTTTGCTTCCCCCCTTCCCCCCACCTCTTGCGCGCGCTGTCTAGGTCGCCGTGATACGAATGACAGGAAAAAAAAGGGGGTGAGGGGGAGGCGCGAAGCAAGAAACATCGAAGATGATGGAGAAATACTACATAGACGGTTAGGGGTAAGGGAGCCGAATGTAACAATGTCGTTATTTCCCTCACTCACTCTCACTCTCTCTCTCTTTTCCTTCTTCCAAATCTAGTAACTTTACCGTCCATACATCCCATATCCCTCCGCGGAACTCATTCTCCTCCGTCGCCGCGGAACCAAAGCGCACAAGCACACATTTCCCCCCACTTCTACCTACCTACGCTGACTCAGGTATCTTCGCTTCATTTTAAAGACGCGAGAAATATACGTGTGTCTTAGGGAGGAAAAAAATGGAGCCGTGGGTGGTTTCTACGGAAAGTTTTACTCGATCGGGATGTGTCTTGACTCGTTTTCTCTTGAATTGTTGGACTGGAGAGTTGCCTCATGGGGAAATGGGGTAAGGATAGGGTTCGTGATGTGCGGGTTCGTTGGTCGGGAGGTTGGGTTGGCCAGTCGGGAGGATTGCGTGTTTGGCGTGAGCTAGACGGTCGGTGGTGGTAGGTATTGGTCGGTGGTAGTGCTAGTTGGTAGTAGTCAGCAGTGTTGGTCGGTGTTCGGCCATGTTTGCCGGTGTCACTCAATGCTTGATTCGAGTAAGCTGGGCGATCAGTGACAGTAGGTAGCGTTTTTTTTCGGGGGGTGTTCGGTGGCATTTCACGTAGGTTTGGGCGATCAGTGGTGGTGACAGCAGGGCGGGATATGGTAGGTTACTTAGGGCGTGGGAAATCGGGGGTGGGGCGGGGAGGTCGCGGGAATAGTAGGGCTGTAGGGATTGACTGTGCGTGAGGTGCTGGACATGCACAACGCCGATTCCACGTGCGTGTGTGTGTGTTTTTTTGCCTTTGCGGGGGTTGTAAGCGGTGAGGAGCGTGGATGTGTTGGCCCCTTTCTTTTGCTGATGGGCTGATTTTGACTTTTTGAAGGGCTGGTGTTTAAGCATAGTACTCGGATTTCAAAGAGATCAAGTTTGAAGTGTTCGTGCGTATTTTGAACAAAGGTATTTAGATGCTATGGTACATGGGTGTTTCTACTTCTTGGTAGATGTTGTATACGGTGCAGGTGTTTGCTTAGAAAGAAAGAAATGAAACAGAGAAATAAACACAGTACGAGGTAAATAAGATCCACGCCAGTACATCACTGGACGCAAGCAAACACCCGCCGTAAACTTTTTGGTATACCAAATGACCTCCTCTGAACATTTAAAATTCATGCCAATATCATCATGGGTGAATGTGGACGTCGTTCCATTCTTTCGGCGGCGTGCCTCCCATTTCCAATTCTCTGTCGATTGCAGGCTCCACTTGCACACTGGTTTCCGTCATGATATTGATGCCATTGGGTGATTGCAATGGCTTCATGATGGAATCTTGCGATCCTGTTCGCGTGGCACTCTCTTCATCGTAGTCGGTGGCGTCGTGGCGTGATCGCGTCATGTAGCTGCGCGTGCGGTGGTGTTCGACTATGCGAGATAGCCTGCCGTTCCCACCTGTGATTGTGATGGTGCACGAGGTGGCGGGGGGTTCCTTGGAGTTCATAGATTGGAGACCGTAGCGCTCAGTATCGCCAGGGCGCGCGTTGTTGGTAAGTGTTATGGTGGCGGTTCTGTTATATTGACCGGTGCTTAAGTCCCCAGACACCAACACTCGTCTTGTGAGGGCGTACAAAAGTGCATCGATCCACCCACAGGATGTGAGGAGGCAGCCCGAAACGACGAAGAAGAGGTCTGGCATCGGCTGACCCGTCATGGCGACCATACGCCCTACAGCAATAGGCAGAGTCAGGATAACGTAGACGGCAGGATACATGACCATGAACTTGGTTGCTCGTGACAGCTTGCTGGTGTCGTTTGCCATGATGCTCTGGATGCGGCCACGTAGATGGAAAAACAGGTGGGCGTAGATGATGATGGTGCCAAACTCTACAATGAAGATCCAGAGATAGTGTAACCAGAGGCGTTCGTCTTGAAATTCGTGTGACACCCAACACTATTGCTAGTCAGTTCCACGATTTCCAAGTCTGGCACCCCAAAAAAAACTTACCCATCCTGCAGCGCGAGCAAAGTATCGCTCTTGATGCATTGCTGGTCCCAGCACTGTGAGAAACAGTGCAAAGGCCCAAATCAACAAAATTGATATGACGAACCACTTGAATGGCATTTTATATCCCTTGACCACACCCAGCCAGGTGTGAATAGCGATGGCAAGGACGAAAAAGCCACTCGAAACATCACCGATGTGAAGGAACCAGGCCTGGACGAAGCACGCCCCAGTAGGAGCGACAATCTTGTTGAGCTTTAACCAATGGAAGGATATGGCAAAGGCAGCCGATTGCTGAAGATCCGCAAGAAGTAGGTTGTAGATGAGAATGACGTATTGGTTGTATCCGACATACTGCCTGTAGTGTTTTCGCCAAGACACCATTCGCTGGGTGATGAATGCAAGTAGGGCGGTTACTGATACCAAGCTCATCATGGCGAATACGGCTATAGGAATCAGGCCAGCCTTGTAGACAGGCGTGAGTGGGTCTGGGACAGGTATGCGGGGTCAGTGTGATTCGAACGACATGGGCGTGTGTATTACGTACCCATGTTGTTGGGAATTGAACTGTCCTGCTGTCTGGACGCAGGGAGTTCCAGTTCAGAGAGTGTGTCGACCATGTTTTCGGATGCTGCGTTCTTGATAGGGATGGATTGGCTCGTAATGAGGCAGACAGGTATGCGTTTCTTAGTTTATGCAAGCACCATGGTCGGTAAGGAGACGATTTCCGATTCCTTTGGCAAAACAAGGGGATCTTGTGACTCGGGTGTGTCCAGTGAGCAGCTTCAGGCGTTTCGATCCACGGGTCGTTGCAGAAGTCCGGAGGAGGTGCCAGGGTTTCTTTAATGGATATTGCGATGGATGGAGGAGGTCAGGTAGTTGACAGCATGCGTGGCCGCGAGGGCAAAGGCGGTTCTTAGCGCTAGAGAAACCTTCCGTCAGACTACCCCGGACAATGGGTCAAGGTGGAGGATGGAAATATCAAATATGGCCCGAAGGCTAGTTGGGTGGAGTCGGACGCCTTGTTATGGCAATGATAGATAGTCGGGAACAAGGGGACCGTCCAATCGACTTCTTAATTGCCGAAACGGACATGCAGGTGGGCCAGCCCTGACATTTAGCATTGGATCCGCGGGCACTGGATGATCGCCGAAAGCAGCGCAGCACGCTACTTGTGCAGGGGTGAATAGAGCAGAGTTCGCGTTCCTGGGCCATAGCTATTAGCGGCCGCTCCCTGTCCATCACCCATTCGCATTGATAATCGAGCGCATGTCCCTTTTTGGGTAGGGCTATGCTCTCCTCAGACAAGAAACTACACTCTCCAGTGAGGCGCCGTGTGGCCGTGCTCGCCGAGAGAGGTTCCGTGCTGCCGTAGAAGCAATGTTGACATGGTGTGAAGCAATGAGCAAGTGGCAGCATGCCAGCCAGGTGGCGCGACGTTGTTGATCCTGCTACGACCGGGTTTCACGCGACACGGGATAGGGAATGAACAGCAGCTGGCAGTCTGCTACCACGTGGAGCACGGCCTTGACACGGCTACACATGCACATGGCAGCTGGGATGTTCTTCGAGGCCAGTCAGTCCTGTCTGTGCAGTGCTGTGCAGAGACTGGAAGCGAATGAGATGGCCAAGAGCCATCAGTACGACAGTCGTATCGATGTGGCACCCGCCCATGGCGCGTAGTTTGTTCCGCGGACTCCAGGTTGGTCTTTGATGAGGCGTTGGGACTGTGCCACAGCATGTACGGACCGGTTTCCTCTGAAGCCAACGTCTGGGTGAACGGTGCCGCAAGCCTGGAGGCGTCTCCCTTTTGCCGCGTTGTCTTTGTGGGGCGGCAGGCTGATGGCCCGACAAGACTGTGGAGGATGTGCCGCCAGGGGAGGGAGGGGCTTTTACCCACTGCGGTCTAGCGACTCATGGCCTAAGTAAGGAGAGTGCGCATAGATACATACTAACGGGTTGGGTTGGGTTGGTGTTGGGCCATGGAAAAACAATTGTCCACAATGCGAATCTGCGCGGTCCAAATCGGCGTCTCAATGCACTGATTGCCAGGGGAAGGCATCGGACACATAAACATCCTGGTCCATTTTCCCGGCACATGCGTGTGCGTGCATGTCGACGTGCCCCATGATGGATTTGACAGCTGTCTCTTAGGTACCGAAACACTCGCGATGACTTTCCATGAACGACAGCAGGTCCACTTAGCCGACCGCGCCCTCCCGAAGGCCAGGCCGCAAGACCGCAACCGGGCGACATGAGTATGGGAAGGGTACATGTGACACACAAGCTCGCTTGCAGGTGCTTAAATGCCACAAGTATGTACTCAATCTCTAGCCATAGACTACGGCTGTAAGTATCCAGTCGGCGCGTGCCGGCAAACCAGCCAATGGATCCATTCAAAGGAACGCCTCCAACTGTCTCAGTGGCCCTAGTTTCTGCAAAATGACGATCCATCGATTCTGTATACATGTATCGGCATCTGCCATCGTTCCTCACATTCGAGAGCTATGGTGCCACCCTTCTGTCGTATTGGAACAAGGCGATCCGTGGAAAGTGTGACACTGCATAGCATAGTACACCAATAGGTGCAGGACTTGAAGTTCGTACGAGATCTGTACATCCCTGCCTATCAATCATGTCGTCTTAGCCAACCAGGCCCCAGGGTGGGCCAAGAGGCGGCATATGTTTGCATCAGCCTTGTAGCAATAGAGTACAGTGCATTGCACCCCAGACTTGGCTTGTCGGAACCAGCATGCTGACTCGGGCTATACGAGTATAGTTCGCACAACTCACACTCTGTGCCGTCTTGCACCTACTGGCGGATCCGGACCATCCGAATGACCAACATCCTCAATCTAAGAAGGGCCGAGATGTTGCGTCGCTCAAAAGGAAGCCTCTTGTGAGAAATACTCTTACATACCATTTCACCTCGCCCGCTAACATGGAAGAAACGCCACACGAGCATTTAGGGCCTTGATGGAACTAAAGTAGTGCGCTATGAATATGCGAAATTAGGTCATGTAGAGTGGGACAAGGGGGTGTAAGCTGTTACGCCTTCTTGCTTTGACCACGAATCATGCTTGCGGTCACGATTGAAGATCTCTGCTTACAGCTGTTTATTTACAGTTTCCCTGCAACGGCAGACTAAACCTGTGCCTCTTTGACATATGGAAGCAGTTGACGATAGGCAACCTTGAAAAGGAGGTTGAATGAAGGCAAGGGATGCCCCAATGTCTGTTTAGCAGGCTCAGCTGGATCCAATGCCAACTAGTGACGGCTGTAGGTGCTCGCGACACCCGACAAACAACCCATGATTAGCCGGTCAGCCAGTCTTTCCCGCCTGCCTGCTCTCAGTAACAGGGCCGAGAGCCTACATCGGAAGGAGTGTGTATATGCGAGACGGATGCAAGTCTTGTGCCTAATCTCTATTCCCACAATTTAGACATGGAGATATGCCATATCCTAACAGCCAAGAGAACTCCCGGTGTAAGAATATGAATGTATGATAATCCTACCCGTATGCTTGTCACAATATGGCTTACGCCACATGCTTCATACCTGGCAACGAATCAGCCGGTGGAACTTCATGTGTTCTGCATAATGCTAGTTGTTCACCGAGGGCCATGGCACTTGTGTACGCCAAACTCCTGGCGAAATCCTCTACATTAGTAATTGCTTATATGGCTGTTGTATGAATCTGCATATCTGGGTCCGGATACATCTGAACTATTTCAGGGTCGTGCAACAGCCTCGCTGATATCTGTGGGGTCCAAGAAGATGAAGGCTAGTCTGAATGCGTAAGCAGTCCGTGATGGGCGTTGCAAAGCTCCTCTTTGTTTATCCCTGATGTCAAGCCGTGAACAATCTTAAGCAGGGGATAATCCAATATGCGTAGCCTCGATAAACGCCTAAGATAGAACTACGAGACTTGACCCTTGGCATCACCCCGTTTACAAATCACTAGCTGTTTGTTTGATGTCGCTAGCGAGGCGAGACCGTTGGTATTGAAATTTACCATTCCTCCTACGTGAACCATCTGTAAGGTATCGCAGGATCGCCATCATGGATTGAGACATGGCACGCTATACGTAGCACAGCATGTTGAACAAACGTTGGAGCAATGAGGAAGACAGTCACGGGTTCAGCCCGACGCGGCTCCGGGAACCGGTGGCGAACCAAGCTAAACCGGATACGGTAGCGTGTTGTTGGGATGTTTGGCTGCCGTGTTGCGTCCCAACACCGACATCACTGTATGAGAACATACCCACCAGCGCACCCCGTCTTCTTAATAATGTATAATCAAATCACCCTATGAGAAGTAGTGCATACGACGAAATCACGCATACCCGAAGAAATGGCGTCAAAGAACGAAGCGCACGCGCGTATCAACAACATCAAAGCCGACCTCCAATCCATCTCGACATGTTCCAACGCCACAGTCAGCGCGCTCCAGGAGATTCTCTCAAAAAAGGAAGATGAGCCAACACAGAAGGAAAATGTAAAGGGCAAGACTCAGACGACTGCGTGGAGGAGAGCAGCGACGGGTGCGGCTGCAGATGTTCAGAAACAAAAGACATACACAATTGCGCCCAGGGAGAAATACATACTGGCTACCGAAGTCGCAAACAAGACCCTCCAAACACTCGCTGAGGCACTCAAGAGCCCAATATCAGTCATCACCGCCCGTCTTCCTTCCAAGTCGAAACCAATACCCACCGAAGATGCTCGCAAGCCAGCACGACCCAACCAAGCAAAGACCCCGCCACTCTCACAACAGCCTCTCCGCGAACGGTCCGCTTCTCAGGTGCACAATTCGCCTCATAAACGCGCCCCGCGCCGGTCGTCGTCATACTCGTCGTTCCTGTCCCCAGGCCCTGACCCAGGCCTGGTCGCTACGGCCGAGTGCGCAAGGACGGCATTCGCATTCCTGGGTACCCCAGAAGCAACAAAGGTTCTGGGGAAAGATTCTAGGGAGCTACAGTACGAAAATGGTGTGCTTGCGCTCATTGGGAAGCTCGTTGCACATGGCCTAGACAACATGGCCGTCAAAGAGTTAAGGACGCTGAAAAGGAGGTTGGATAGACACATTGGCCGTGATACTGCACAGCAAATTGGCGCTACCGACAAGGAAAGCCTGGCTTTACTTTTGGACTTTGCAGCCATAGACCCCAGTAGCCCTGTTATACCACTGGCCGCCAGCTTCCAATCATACACATTGCGTATCATCGCCAAACTAAAACGACCACGAACAATTGAAGCCACCTGGGAATTCCTGAAACCCACAAACCCATCTTCACCTGCTAATCTGCTTTTGAGTACTGTAAAGTCTCCAGCCAGCCAAGCTAAAGTAGCTAGGCAGCTTGAGTCTCTAGCCCAGACTATTCTCTCGCTATGCCCGAGTATTTCGAGCGCGGATGATGCAAACACTCTGCAACCATCTGCAGAGAAAGTACTGCTCCTGCAACATTTGGCCTTTAGTGTGAGAAAGCAGTGGTGGGGTCTTGTCAAACACCAGAGTAATGAGGAACAAGAGCTGTCGGAGCCCTTCGCCAAGTGTTTGATCGCCTTTGGCCGGAGATCCCAACTTATTCCTGTTAAGAAGTACAAGCTGGCCGAAACTTTGTACACGGACCTATTAGGATGGCCTGACGGTGCCACTACTTCACCAAATGGCGCTCCTGCCTCGGCAACTGCGAGCAAGACTTTGTCCTCACTTGCCCAGGCGGCGGGATTGTCTGACCAGGCTCTTCGATGGTTAGGCTCTTCAACTTCCTCCACCACCTCCAAGACTCCTGCTGTGAAGCAAACAGCGAGGACGATACGAATAGCTACTATCACCGTAGAGGCTTACGTCAAAGGCGAAAAGAAAACCGATCTGAACGACGTAATTACGAATGCCCTCGATGCCTTGAATGGAAGCCTGGGTGGGTCAGCGGCAGATCTCGAGTCGCTCTTTGCAGAAGTCAATGCCCTGAGACGAGCAGCAACGAAGATCCTTATCGCACGGCTTTCTAAGCCTTCAGGCGACGACGAAAAGCTTGCTGTAGTGCAACAGGCTGTGTCTGTCATCACTGCAAGTATCCATTTCTCAGCAAGGTTTCTGGGTACTGCATACCCACATGAAGCCGACTCAAAAACACAAGGTCAGCACCACGAACGGGTAACTTTGGCTTGGAAATATATGAAGGGTACCATTGACTCGGTCATGGCATGTTGCAAACAGACCATCAAAACTGAGCACGAGTGGAAAGACTATGACACATTGTTACAAGAATGCTCGCACGTACTTCGCCGTTTCGAAGAAGAGGCCAAGGAGGGAACTATCTCAGGCGAGGAAATCGAATCTATCATTGGATCATTTATTGTCAAAATATCCAATGGTTACTGGGCTCTCTATATGCAGTTACGGAGGGCCCGCTGTAAGCTCGATACCTTGGTTATGCCTATGCGGCGTTCCATCGACCTTGTACAATCAAGAGACCCAACTGAGCAAGAGAGCGGACTTCTCTCGATGAAGCTTGAGCAACTGGGCGAGACCTTCGAAGAGCTGGGCCAAATTGAAAACTCCCGCGACGCTTTTCGACAATGCATACACAGCCACCTCACTACAGATATCCTGCGACAGCTTTCCGAGACTGCAGCAAAGTCATCTCTTTCCGCAACGTTCAGCGATACCGGACCATTTAGTGTAATTTCCAGGCTCCTGAAATGTTACCATCATTCGTTCCTAAAATTTGGAATTCGCCAAACGGATGAAACTGCATATTTTGACATTGACACAATTCATGCAGACGTCGAAGGGGCTATATTGGAGTTGCAGTTGCACTTTTACTTACGAACGTTGTCGAAAAATCGGAAATGGGACTCAAACCTAGACAAATCAATTCGCAGCCTGATCGAACGACTCCGTATAGTATACGCACAGGAAACCTACCCGGTTCGGCGATTAAGGTCGTCTATCGCTGTTCTTCAGCTTTTGCAAAGCGATCCCCAAATCTTGTCCCAAGACAACCAAACTTCTGGCTTTGATTGGGACGAGAGCATAGGAGTACAGCAGTCTCAAGACCAAGCATTGAAGGGATATCAAGCTCACCTAAAAGCACTTTACGATCTCAAATCCTCGATGCAGCAATCCTCTCCTCCTACGTCAACCTTTCAACAATGTTTTGCCACATGGGAGTCTCTTGTCACCCCTGCATCTTCCTGGGATATACTGAGTGGTCGAATTGACGACATAGATGTTTGGCTAAAAGATCTTCATGCATGTGCAGAATATCTCAATGCAAAGGGTGAAGAGTACTTGGCATTGCCGCTTCTTCATCTTTTAGTCAACATTCTTGAGCTTCAAAAAACTGCCGATGGATCCGAGCTCCTCACCACGCTGTGCGCTTTGGGGCTACAGTTACTGCGTCTTGGTTATACTGGGAAAGCAGGCGTCTGCCTTGCTAAAGCTGAAGCACTGATCAAGTCCCGGAGCTGTTCTGTCGATGCCAGATTGGAGTGGCACGTGGCATATGCAGAATATCTGCTGGGTGTAGGGAATCCGGCGAAATGGTAAGGAAAAACTCGATTCTCTATTTACCGTGCACTGATATATAATAGTTCTGCGATAATGGAAAATGCCCGATCCATTGCACTTGGAGACTCTAAGTTTTTGGATTTGGCGAAGCCGACAACCACACTGTCCGGCCGGTTGCGGTTCAACAGAATAGTGGCAGATGCTTCCTACATTCATTCGTTGTTTGCCACTGCTGCTGGATCATACAAAGAAGCGGCTCGACATGCGAGACAGTGTGTCACGCTGAACCGACGTATTTGGGCTGCCCTCGAATCGCGGTCAAACGCCAAGAAGGCCGCGTCTGCAGACGAACTTGAATCCGAAGCAGATGGGTCGAGCCGAACAGCGTTTGACCCGTTGAGCTCTCTCCGCATTGATAAGGGGGTGCCTGTTGTCATGTCTGTCACCCACGGCGCCCTTAGCGGACCTGACTTCTGGGCTTTGGTCCCATCCATGTATCGGGCTTTGATGCAGCAATCCCAAATCTTTGCTCATCAAGGGTTATTGCACGAGGCCATTTATGTCGCTGAACAAGCTGAGAAGGTTGCTTCTGCAACACAATCTGCGACACTCATGACTGACAATGCCAGCTGGCGTGCTGACTGTTGGGCCCAGAGTAATAGACCCGATAAAGCTGAAGCTATTCTCAAATCGCTAGAGGCGCCTACTTCACGGAAATGCTTATCGACTGCCGGCTACTATTCTGCTGTTGCCAGAACACATCATTGGAATGGTCAGTATGAACAGGAGATAGCGTCGTACAACCTCATGGAGCAGCTTTTGAAAGATTTGAGTTCGCCCACATACGTAAAGACTCTGGAGTCTTTTTCCCCTCCGGTTGATGCACTTACAGATCAGCTATCATCCTTGACGGTGGATACCACCCAGGTAACCAAAGCAAAACCGGCAACAAGAGGTCGTAAGCCCGCGACCAAAGCTGCACCACGGACAACTGCAAAGTCTGCTACTGGTACGCGGCCTAGAGCAGCTACAACACGGGCTGGAAAGACGGCGCCAAAATCAGCCCGCCAACCCAGTGCTCCGCCAGCGTCAGAGGAATCGAGTACTGCCGACCAGTGTGCCGGATTGTGTGTCTTCCAAGCGAGCATGAGGGATCGAGCTGTGCTTGCAAACATCCTACATGACGATCTCGCTGAAGCCCTGAAGCTTCTTGGCCAAGCGGAAGACCTGCAGAACGGGTTGAACCAGGAAGTATCGCACATGTGGGCTACTTTCAAAGCGAGACTCGCACAGAGCGCAAAACAGATTGCGGAAGATTTTACTGTCAACACACTTCCGGAGTCGACTATTGCGTTCCCTGCTTTTGGTCTCAAAGACCGTAGACTTTCCGAAGTAGAACCTGTCAAGAAAGGGACTCTTGTGTCTTCTGCTACTACTAAATTAGGCCGAGCAAAGAAGCAACCGAAAGAGGACTTTATGGACACACTCCGCGAAGCACGAGAGAGACTGGTAGAAGCACATGCTCTGTGTGCTACTAATGGTTCAAACCATTTGTTCCGGCAAACGTCAATGGCGCTGGGTCATGTTACAGTGCTCATGTCAGCTGTAGCGGGTAGCGACCTGCCAGGCTCACTGCACCCAATGTATGCCGCATACATGAGCGAACTGCCCAAGGTCAACGCATTGAGGCTTGTGCAGGAGTCGACTGAGGCGGAAAAAGAGCAATTATCTCGCGATGAGTGTATGCAATGGCCGGTGACAGATGCATCAAGTTTTTCGTTTGCGTCGGTATCGGAGTTTCAAAAAGATTACGTTGACATCATCCCGGAGACGTGGAATGCGGTATCGTTGGCTCTTAGTGAAGCCCGTGATGAGCTGTTCATTACTCGTTTCGAGAAGGGCCTATCGCCATTTGTGTTGCGCCTGCCATTGGCTCGCCACGCCTCTCGCGACATGGATGAGGATGAGTTCTCGTTTGACGACGGAAAGCGAGACTTTGACGAGATTATCGAGCTCAGTGACTTTAGCACGCGAAGCGCCAAGGACATGACTTCGAGGGAAGCAAGACAACAGTGGTGGGCTGAACGTGAGGCTCTCGACACGCGACTACACGAGCTACTCATCAACATGGAAAACATCTGGCTTGGCGGCTTCAAGGGAGTCTTTTCACAGCACGAGAGACAGCCAGCTCTGCTTACAGAGTTCCGTGAGTCGCTGGAGAACATACTGAACGAGCACCTGCCGTCGCGGAAAAAGAAAAGTCAACAAAAGCGACCGGTACTGGATGCACGAGTTCTGGAGCTGTTTATTGGTCTTGGGGACGCTACCAACGAGGAAATCGACTTGGACGAAGCGCTGATGGATCTGATCTATTTTGTTGTCGACATTCTCCAGTTTAACGGTGAGCGTAACGCGTATGACGAACTCGATTTCGATGCCATGGTGGTCGAGACGTATGAAGCTCTCCGGGCATACCATAGTGCATCCCACAGACTGGAATCTGCTTGCCGTCACACGATACTCATTTTGGATAAGGACTTGCACGGGTTTCCATGGGAGTCACTGCCATGCCTGGAGCAGCTGTCAATTTCTAGGCTACCCTCGCTTGCGGCCCTCCGCGAAAGGCTGCTCTCGGCACGACCGTGCGGGTCCCAAGCGGAGGCTGCGCCGGCTGGCCATTATATTTGCTCCAATATGAGGGGAACGAGCATGCTCAACCCATCAGGGGACTTAGCCCACACATCTAAGACGATCGCGCCACATCTAGACCAACTCCAGGGATCATGGGATCGCATCAGCAATCGAGCGCCATCGGAAAAGGAGTTTGAAAGCAGTCTGCGAGAAAAGGATCTAGTGCTGTACTTTGGTCACGGCAGCGGTGCGCAATATGTCAAGTCCAAGGCAGTACGACGACTGTATGCAGGCCAAGGAGATGAGGAGGGCAGGAAAGCAGGATGTGCGACGACGCTACTGTTTGGCTGCTCTTCCGTCCATCTTAGTGAAAACGGCATCTTCGAGCCGTCCGGTATGCTAGCTTCTTATCTTACTGCCGGGGCACCGGCTGTTGTGGGCATGCTTTGGGATGTCACGGACAAGGACTGCGATCGCTTTGCCGTCAAGGCTGGCGAGCTATGGGGACTGTGGCCCGAGTCGCAAGACGACAGTGGGGGTCCTGCGAAGAGTGTGGGAAAGACACCTGCAAAGAAAGCCAAAGGCAAGGGCAGAGCTGGGCAATTGATGGACGAGGTGGAGGGAGTGCGAAGCGGGGGAAGCGCAAAGAAAGGCAAGAAGACTGCGAGGGCAGCCGATGGCGATGGTGGGATTGAAGGCGAGAGACAGAGGGGAGTCGGGCTGGATGAAGCAGTGCGCGGAGCACGCAAGGCCTGTGTGTTGCGATATCTCAACGGGGCGGCTGCGGTGGTGTATGGCATCCCTGTGTATCTAGAGTAGAGTAGGGCAGGGTAGGGTAGGGTAGGGTAGAGCAGAGTAGAGTAGAGGCAGTGGCTCGGGCAGGGAGCCAGGCGTTTTGAAGATTCTTGGTTAATGTTTGTACTTGATTATCTTTTGGCAAGCGTCTCGCCTAGATGATCTGTCACCAGGACGTGGGCGTGTTGAGATGGGTTCGTGCGTGCTAGTGGCTGTTGGGGCGTGTTGCCCGGTGCTCCAACTGGCCATGGCCGGAGTTGCCGGACTGTCGGGGTATATGAGAAGGGCCGAAAAGGGAACTTCGTATGGAGCAGACTAGGACGCGCCAATATTTTACGCCGAGCGGCCATGGTAATGGGACCGAGCATGTCTGTCTTATGGATGGATGTACGTTACACCTGTACACAGATATGTACATAGTTACTTACATATAACGACATCGGCTCTGCTGGGCAACCTGTCGGCTGCGGGCATGTGCGTACGTGTGCTTTTTCGCGAAAGACGCTCCGCTCGACCCAGAGCGACGTGACGACAAAATCTGCTCCCAATTGTCCCCAAGCCAGAAGCCAGAAACCAAATTAGACCCTGATCTACCGATGTGGCGTCGCGCCCATGAGTAGTGCTTCTCCTCTCCTGGAAGCCCTTCACTCCTCTCACTGAACCTACTCCTCCACACTCCCTCGCGGCCCGCCTCGGACGCAACACGGCCATGACGGAACGTCCGGCAAAGTCTGGCACGTCTCGCAAGCGGGCGCTGGTGAGCTGTGACCGATGCAAGATCCGCCGGGCGCGATGCATTCGCGACAATGCAGACATGCCATGCGCCGATTGCAAGGCAAGTGGTGTGGCATGCGAATCCAAACTTCCACGCAAGCAGCGCGTCTACGGCAGTGTCGAGACGCTGAGTCTGCGCTATAGAGCGCTCGAGGCCCTGGTCAAGGGCCTGTTCCCCAACGATAATGTTCAGGATACCGAGACGCTGTTTAGGATTGCGGCCGCGAGGAATATCACCATGCCCGCCAATGATGACTTTACTCCAGCAAACATCTTCAACACCGCGACCACCACCGACCAGCGCTCCTCATCGTCGTCGCAGCAACAACAACAACAACAACAACAACAACAACAACATCAGCAGCAGCAGCAACCGCAACAGCATCAACAACAACTACCACCGCAACCGCAACCGCAACCACAACCTCCAATTCAACCTTTTCAAACATCTTCCTTTCCCCGGCAGGCACCCGCTGTCCCATATGCCACCACACACGACACTACCCATTCTTCTCACAGTGATTTTCCGCCCATAAAAAGCAAGCAGAATCGCCCCAGCACCCTCGCCGAACCCCAGCGACCCCCCTCTCGGGCAGAAGAGCTCTTGCGGGCAAACCGACGCACCTCCCACTACTTTGGTCCCTCGAGCAGTTTCCGCCTTGCCACAACAATACGGGCTCTTGCTTCCCGGTGGATATCAATCACGGGTGCAAGCGCCCACTCTTTCATCTCAGACCCATCCAGCAACCCTGGCTCCATTTTGAAACGCAGTAGCACTGACCCTTCCCACGAAGACCTTACCTTGCCTGAAGCAATTCAGCTTCCACTCTCTGGAAAGAGAAGTCGCAAAAGATCCAGGTCAGAACTGGATGATTCCAGTGATGAGTTCTTGTCTCGCGAGCATAGTCTGAGCAGAGACTCCATCGGGACTCTCTTACCGCCCAAAGCTACCGCCGAAGCCCTGGTGTCTGCCTACTTTAGCCGGATTCACATGTACATGCCTTTGTTCAATCGAAGCGTGTTCCATCTTCGTATGGAAGCAACGTATTCTCGAAAAGCCGAACTGATCGACGAATGTAAGGACATTGGCTGGCTGGTGGCACTGGCCCTGGTCTTCTCTTTTGGATGCCAGCAACTGGACGGACTCGACTCTAAGCAAGCCCGTGAGCTGCGAGTCAAATACCTCAAATTTTCCAAAAACTACTTTCGGCGGCTCCTAACAACAGCCTGCCTGGATAATGTCCAGGCACTTGTTCTGCTCAACATGCACCATCATAGCGTTGGGCAAAAGAGCAGTTCATGGCTGCTGATAGGCCTTGCTGCACGCATGGTCAGTATCTTACCAGGTAGAGTGATTCCTTGATTAATGACGTGTCGCAGGCAACTACCATGGGAATGCATCGAGACGCTTCAAATCAAGAATTCGAGTTTGTCGAGCGGAACATACGCCGCCAAGTCTGGTGGACCATTTACATTTTTGAAAAAACCTTGTGCAGTGTCCTTGGCCGCCCAACCGCGATTGATGATCGCGAAATGTCACTCCATGTGCCAGAATTCCAGTCATTCGGGCAACCCAGTATATCTAGAGACTCTGCCAGTCTCTGCTTTGATCTCGTCCGCCTATCTTATAGTACCCGGCAACGTGCCTATTTCGATCAAACTTCCGCCGAAGAACGCTCGCCGACGCCTGCTGTTGCAAAAACTCTCCTGCGAGAACTTGACGCTTTTATCGCCACAGTTCCGCCAAACATGTCGCTGGACTGCTACCCATTGACGTCCGAGCATAGATCCATGGTATTACTGCTGCATATTTACTACTACCATACACGTTGCATGGTTACTCGGGATTTCCTGGTACAAAAGATTGAAAGTAGCCTATCCTTTCTTGAAAACGAAATGTTTACCGATTCTGACGACTGGCAAACAACCCTTGCGCTCGCCGAAGACTGCGTCGAGTCTGTGCACAAAAGCTTGCAGTGCATCAGGGCCGGTATCGAGCTTGGCATCATCGGATACTCGTGGCTGGATTTCTACTATGTTTTTCACTCCATCATGATTGTATGCGCAGACTTTCTCGCCCGCCCAAAGGGACAAGCAGAGTCAACCAAGGATGCTGAGCGCAAGACGACTGTACGGGCCGTGCTAGATCAAATCCGCGACATGCAAACTCTTGCGCCTACCTATAGGACGCTCAGCCGGATTGCGCTGCAGTTTGCTAACATAACAGAAGTTGCTGCTGACAGAAAGTCACCGACGCCGACAGACACGCCGCATGATGCATTGCTCGAGCCCGTAGCCCCCGCGGCGAGCGACGCAGGTGTCGAGCACGTAATGCAGCTCGCAGATCTGGGCGAAGACTGGTTCACAAACGCGACCGCGGACCTGGGGTTAGATTTCTTCGATTTGGGCCATGCGACAAACCCCGTGGCATTTGCTGCCATGCCAGATCCCCCTTCGTGCGCTGAACAGACCATTGAGTCGACCAACGCTGATGTCGAGGATTGGACGTCCAAGACGCTAAAAGGGTTACATACTATATAATTGAAACTTGAACCTGTGCTGTTTTTTTCCAGCACATAATTCTAGCGAATTTATCTTGCCGTCATAAGTTTTGAAGTACCGCAGAGATGACATCACATTCTAGTATGGTGTTGATGATTAGCGAGCCGCCAGGAGCGATCGGCGTGCCGCATGTACGATCGATCAGATCTGTCTATTCCGCTTTTGGAACTCCATGACGCATCTGCTCGACATGCATGTCGTGATAACTACGAACAAATACAAGCCGTGTGGTCGCTCGTGGCATTGAAGTGGGTAGCTAAAGTGCTGATACCTTTTTTCTTTTCGGATGTCACGCTCACGCGATACGGAGCCTATTTTGCCTACGACAAACATGGCGGGCGGCAATAACAAAGATGGGAAGAAGAAGAGAGTGCTCGTTGTTGGAGCGGGAGCTGCTGGTACGGACATGTGATTGATATAGAAGATGTTGTTACTGACGTGAAGAAGGAATGTCATGTGCTCACCATCTCTCTGAGCACCCCGACAAATTCGACGTTACACTCATTGACGCAGTAGACTACTGTGGAGGTCAGGCATTTTCCATTGACATCGACAAAGAGCGTCATGGCGCCGCATGGCTCAACCAAGGTGTCCAAGGTGGAAGTTACATCTTCCACCACACCATGACTATGTTTGCACGGCAAGGTCACCACGCCGACCCTGTCAATCTCCACGTTTCCTTCGGCAAAGACGACATCTTCTGGACTAATGTGTTCCCCACTGAGCTCCTCGCACGGCACCAGAAAGAAATTCGACGCTTCAACACAATGCTCAAGATCGTCCGCTGGTTCGAACTCTTCTTCGCTCTCATCCCCATTAAGGTGCTCTTCAAAATGTTCATGTTCTCGGAGGAGTTCACAAACACTGTCGCCATGCCCATGATCGCCCTGTTCCTTGGTACCGGCAATGAAACCCCCAACGTACCCAGCATCATTCTCGAGCGGCTCTGCACGAGTCCCACGTACGGAATGTGGTATCCACCTGACAAACACAGTATCGCCAGCAACCTACCGCCCATGGTCGTATTCCCCAAGTTCAGCGAATTCTACGAGCGCTGGAGGCAGGATCTGATTAAGAGGGGTGTCAACGTCCGGCTTTCGACTGAAGTAACGCAGGTTGTTAAGCGCGACAAGACGGGTGTTATAGTCAAGTTGATCAAGCGCTCACCGATGCCTGATGCGCATAACCCGAATAGTGCCCATGTGCCATATGACGACGAGCACAACTACGACGCCGATGCACAGGAGAAGGAAGAGCACTACGACGAGTTGATTCTCTGCGTTCTGTAAGCTGGCCCCCCTCAATTCCCACCACCCATCTCTCACATAAATACTAACAAACAACCCCCCTCCCGCAGGGCCGACACCGCCAAACGCATCCTAACCCCCACCGCCTCCCACCGCGAATCCTACATCCTCGGCTCCGCAAAATTCTCAAACGACATAACCGTAACCCACTGGGACTCGTCCTACATGCTCAAGCACTACGAAAACTTCTACACCGAACAACGCGCCGTCTCCACCCTCAGCTCCACCTCGCAAACCCACCGCAACGACTGGGCCGCCAAAAACTTCAAGCCCATGTACTACATCAAAATGTACCCATCCGATCGCTCCAAGCTGGAAATGTGCTTCGACTGCACAAACTACCAGTCCCAATTCCCCCCTTCCGTCCCCTTTGAGAAGCACGTCTTCCAGACCATCTACCTCAACAAAGAGCGCGACGGCCACTTGTGGAGCATCGACGAAATCGACCCAGACAAGATTATCCGCAAGGACTGGTGGCACCAGCTCTGCCACTCCTGGACCCATTACGCATTCGTCGTGCCCTGGATGTGGCTGCTGCAGGGCCGACGCCACACGCGGTTTGCGGCGGCGTGGACGCTGATTAATGCGCATGAGGTCGCGGTTATGAGTGGGATTGCTGCTGCTGTGGATCTCGGCGCCGAGTACCCTGCTGACCTGGAGAGGGATCGGTTTGCGTTTTTGTGCTTTAGGCTTTATTATTTGTTGTGCTATGGGAAGTGGTATAGGCGCAGGGCGACGAAGAAGAGTAAGGAGGGGCCTGGGAAGGAGTGGGCGAGTGGGTTGTATGGGAGTGTGTATAGGGGACCGGGGGTTAGTGATGTGGATCGTAGGCAGTGGAGGGAGGAGAATGGGATTGAGGGGGAGCCCGAGAGGTATAAGTTTCCGGAGAATGCGGGGCATAGATAGGGGGGTGATCATGCGGGATCAAGGATGAGTCGAGTGTTGAGTGGATGTTCTCGGTTTGTGATACCTTGTAATCGACATACTAATGAATCTATTTAATGATCATAATTGAT